ACCTCTTCCACCAGCTTCAAGTGGGTTCATTTGTAGATAGTATTTTTCTGGCAACCTCTGACTTTCTGTTTCCTTTTTTTTTTTTAACTTGGGCTATTCATCACTGCAGAAAGCCGGCAGCCATCCTAACTGGACTTCAGTACTCATTCCAAGCACCCTGGAGCTGTATTCCGCCCTTCCATGTGTGTAATCCCTGGTATGACAAGGTGCTGCTTACATATGTTTGTCTTGTGGGTGTGGATTCCTTAACCAACACATTAGTAACATTTGAATCTCTCCTTTAATGCAAACCCAGCTGTGAGTCGTCTTTCTCTATGTCCATTAGAATTACCTTTCTGTAACAAAAAAGAGTATGCTTTAGGAACTGGAATGGCATCATTGGGAAGGGTAGTTTGGAGGTAGGCAAATACAACCCAGATTGTTTTCCTAGTACAAGCTTAAGTTTAGCAATAGATTCTTCAAATACTTCAGTTGCATATTTTATAGCCAAGCTAATTTTTCTTATAAGGAGGGATCAGGTCAAAACTCTACATTAAATATTCATTACTGGTAGATTTAGGCTTTTTGTTAAAGTTTCCCACATGTGGGAGGTCACATTATAATGTTTGAGTTTCTAGAAAAACAACGTGTTCATGAATTTATTTAACAGAAAGCATATCCTTAATGTAAACATAACACTTTTATTAAACTAATTTCTGTTTAATTAATTGATTTTATTACATTAATTTAAACAGATAATAGAATAAAATATTAATGTTTTAATATTAAAAATAATCTCTTGCTGTGACTTAGAAGGGTAGAAATATTTTTTAATGTCTAGGATGTGTATTACTTAGATGCAATTGAAGTGCACAGACGAGTGTGTATGTGTATGTGTGTTCCTAGTATGTAAATCTCTCCATGTGTGAATAGAAAAGCTCATCTTCTTGTTTATTCAATGGTGTATACAAAAGAAGACATGGAAAAAAAAAGGCAGGAAGGAAGAACTGAGATAAACCAAAATTCTTTCAACTCACGAAGGCTTTTGGTATTATCTCCAAATCAATGACATGCTCTTAGTAGGCTTAACTGAAGAGAATTCCCCAGAAAGGATTGATGAAAAATGCTCAAAAGTTATCAATATCGATGAACTTCCTCGGACATGCTTGCAGTCCATACTCCTGAGCAAGCTTCCATGTCCCATGTCCCTCTGACTTCAAGTTATTTTACTGTGACATCTCCAGCAATTATCACACATGGAAAGCACTGTTCACATTTTACTGATGTCTACCCATGCTGCTCAGGCCCCTGCCCATTTAAAGGACTACTTAGATATCAGATGCCTATCAGGTGCACATACTTGTGAGAATTCCAACACCTTCTCCACATCCCTTCTGCCTCCTCTGATCTCTTTTAATGTTTCTTCAGCTGCTTTTCTTGTGATCTTGCCTTAGACTCTGAAGGAGCTGTGTGTAACCCTCCCATCTCTCCCAATCTTCAGGTGCTTGCTGATCTTCAAAGTATATGCACTTAATGTCCTACCTTAGATTGGGACACCTGGTAGGATGCAGAGTTCACTTTAGTCACTGGACACTGTCAAGCTGACACTGCCTAGCTCTAACTCCTCAGCTTTGCTGCACTGTGGGGGTCTGCATGAATGCTCAGATTCAACTTTATTAGCTCCATAGGAAAATGTAAAGGGCTGGCTTTCATCTGCTGATTGAAGGAAATGAGTCCAAGACTTTGTACCTATAAGTTGCAGCATCATTCTGAACAAAACTGATTTTTTTAAACTTCATTATAAGAAAACTGTACAAAACACCATGATGAGGAATGAGGGAGCTATGATTTATGGCCCTCTGTGTAGAGGAGATTTAATTCTGCCTTCTGCTCAATGGCCTATCCATTGTGTGAGCAAAGTCAATAAGAATAATGAAATGTAGACTGAAGGGCTAAATCAATTCAATAAAATGCAATAGAAAGACTAGAGGACTGAGTAAATTTGGAAAGGCTAGTGCCTGCCAGATTAGTATTTGGACAACAGGTAATTACAAAAATCAATACCTGTATATGAAAACATGACAGGCAGCCATCCATCGCAAAACAGGGAGTAATTACTAACAGTCTGGACTCTAAGTAACGATGAGAGGACAAAACAAGTCCATGTAGAGTTCTCACCAGACTTTACACACTGGTGTGTGCATATGCTGATACACATATACACACCTCCCCATATGACCACAGGAAGAGGGGGGCAAGTTACACCTCATGCTCTCAGCTCAGTGTTAAGTCATGTCCTCAGTCCTATCCTACCCTAGCCTTCCTTCTGATCCAGCTCATGGGAACCAGAGGACAATCATCATGGGGACCCAGAGCTGAGGATGGGGTACCCGTGGGGAGGAGGAGTTCTATTGATAATATTAACTGTCTTTCAAGTGTTAGCTGTTGGAGAAAACTCCAAATACTGAAAGGTGACTCAGGCAGCTCAATGACATCACAAAAGAAAGTATTATATGTGCACACACACATACATACAACATGCTCACACTTCCATATACTCACACACATACTGACATATACAGACATGCACATGCACATGCATACTTATATATACATGGGTAAAGACACATGTATACACAGACATATTCATGCCTACATATGCTCACAAGCACACTGGCATATAACATATACATGTATACACTGACACCTATATACAAGTTCTCATACTCTGATATGTACATATATTCATAAGATAAAATTGTAACTTAGTGTCTTGTGTTCCTAGACACAAAACTATGGATAAAGTATGTTCACTCACTAATCTGTCTGCTTAAATCAAGTCCCTTAATCCCACAAAGGCCCTATAAATACAGTTTCAGTATCACTAGTTTTTTCATGCACACGTTTCTACTCTTGTATTTTTCTCTCTTTTAAAATTTCTTTACATTTAAAACTTAATTACATCATTTCTCTGCTCCCCATACTTCCATTATTTTAAAGATAAGCAAAGAGGTTCTAGAAGAGAGTAGCTTCTGTTCCAGATGACAGGCTTGGTTGCTGGCATGGGAAGCTTCTTCCATCGGATTTGATGGATATGTCGGTTCCCCTTCACTGCACCGCCTCTGTCCACCACAGGGTACAGAGCGCAATTCCGAGATCTGTTGTTGGGCTGCATGGCAGCCTATAGGCCTTAAGGTCAGTCCACAGAGCATGTGTGCAGAGCTAGTTAGACAAGCGAGTTCATACTGCCCTGGGCCATGGTAGCTGTGCAGCCTGACTGGATGACTTCCTTTTCTGATGTTTGACTTCTGAAAGCATAGAAGCTGCCACTCCCCCTTTCCCTCCTGTCCCTCATCCAAACAACGTGATAGAAAGCTCCCATTTCCCCCTTTGACACGAGCAGGAGATTCAAACCAGAGGAGGCCCAGTCTGTAGGTATGAACCCACTGCCCAGCCATTCACAGTGCTGAGCCAGTGTCCTTTCCAAATCTCTTGTAAGCCACATCTGGACTATGCGAGAGCTGCTCTGTTCATTCCTGAAAGCCTCATCATGTGAGCAACATGCCTTGCAATGTGTTCTTGGGGTCTGAGGGATGTCAGAAAACTCAATATCAGCCCCAGATTTGGGGCAGAAACACAGCCCACACAGGACTGATACACCAAGTGCTCTTGTATTAACGTTTTGCCAACAACAAAACAAGAAGCTTTCATGACCTTGGGGGAAACTCCAAAGGTCTCCTCTTAGAATATTATCAGTATGTGGCACCCTACTCTGCCTTTCACTTTGCATGATGACTGGACATGGGGGGGGTGTGTGTGTCAAAGCAGGGATCCTAAGATGGTGTCCACAAGGAACATCTGTCATATAACCTTAATGTGATTTAGGTCATCTTAACAGTAGGTACATTTTTACATTTAAAAACTATCCTTGCTTAACAAGGTCAGATAATTCTATGCTGTGTGTGGCTGCCCTGCGCATTACAGGATGCTCTGTGGCATTGCTGGTTTCTGTCCATCAAGTACCAGTTTTACCAGCACATCCTCCCCCGAATTGTGACAATTCAAACTGTACCCAGCCACCAAATCACAGCTTTCTGAGAACTACAAAGAAATGTATTTTTTCTGATGGTGGGCATGAACCAACTTCTTAAAGGAAAATCTGCTGGGCTACATGCATCCAAATGTAAGAAAGCCAAAATCCACAAAAATTGCAAAGAACATCCTTGCATCTTTTCCTTCCACTGTTAAACCAGTTTGGCTCATGCTCAAAATTGCTTACATGCTATGGAGATGCCTCATTACAGTTTATAAAATCTTTAAAAAAGTTGATTACTCAGCTCCTTGCAAGCCAACGTTTATCCTCTATCTGAAAAAAGAATTTGAGTTAGCTGCGGTGACCATGGTAATTTTCCAGAAATAAAACACACTACAATGTTGTACATACCTTGGGGTATTCCAAAAGCATGGAGCATTTTAACAACCATTTATGTGATGGACACAGACAACAGGCTCTTTAATGGATCACATATATCCATATTATATCCACTGCTGCTTTTGTAAATGGCTCAGAACATTTGGTTATATGGCAAAGCCTACAGCGCTCATCCTACTAACAAGTTCTCGAAGACAGACAGGCCATCATGAATCCTGACAATAATTTGAGGAGATAACAATTGATGTCTGGCATTTTTTTTAGTCTTGGGAGACAGATTATTCACAAAGACAGAATTAGGAAAAGGAAGACAAATCATAGCATCGTGAGGCAGAAACCTTGGTTTCTCTCAAATGGGCAGGCATGCCTTGTCCTCTCATCCTCTGTATTCAAACAGAAAAGGGGGATGCACACATACACATGCAATTCACTACACAACGAGCTCTATGTCTCCATCCCAAAGGTAAGTCTACCAGTCAATGGCGTAATTTTCATTTTCCTGTATCTTTTTCTGTCTGACGTGACTCTAAACATACCTAAGCACTTATGAACCCAACACCACTCACTCGATGATGCCCGGAGCACTCACCTCTGCTTTAATTTTATTGTCTCCGAAACAGAGGTGTTGCAAGTAAGCTGCTGCATTGGATTGGACGGAAGGGAACTGATGCTGCAACATCTGTATCACTTCAGGCAGCTCCGGGTCTCTCCATCCAAACTCCCTGTATGAAAAGAAGCAGGAGAACATGAGGAATCAAGCCCAGAACAGACAATGTTCTCCTAACACCCACTAAATGTGCTCAGCAGTCAAGGGAACACTTCACAGTGACTGTGCTGGCTTCCTCACACATACATGGGTTCAGTGCAGAAAGGGTTTCTGAAAAGATCTTGGGTACCAGCTTTTAAGCATCCACATCTGTATACATTCATACTCCATGAAGATTACATACATGTGACTAGGAAAAGATAACTTAAATCCCCCCCCCATTTTTTCACTTGGGCTTAATTGAGTAGAGAACACATTATTCTAATATATGATTTCAAAAGGCTGGCATGCAGCATTTGCCAATATTATCAAATCAGGAAAACAATGGGTACAATCCAATACACCACAAGAGCAGGTGAGCGTACTGATACTGTTACTTTGCTATTGCCATTTTCAAAGCCTTTTAAGAGATGAAATGAAACCAAGAGAGAGAACGTAGACCCCTTAAATGATTATCTGAGGTTGGAAGTGTAGTAGTAGCATGATGACTTCAAAAAGGTAAATTATTTATTTGAAGAGCTTTTCAATGCATGCTAGCAAATTGTATGTGTCTCCTCTTTCTTTCTGTGTACTTTTCCTAATGAAGAGGAAAAATCAGCCCAAGAAGCTGGTTCTTTATTTACTTCCAGGATATATGCTCTGCTCCAAAATTTACATCTAAACCACTTTTATTTGTGCTGTCCATAAGAATGTTATTCTGTGAAATTTCTCAGCTCCCTCAGCTAGACCATGTAACCAGTGGGGTGAACTCTGTGGGTTCTATTCTTAAAAATCAGAGAGCTGATTTTTTTTAAGAGAGAAATAAAAAAACAACCTCTGAGACCACAGACAAAAATGTGACCTCAGAAGCCACAATGGGGACTATTTATCTGAGAGATGGGCTGGAGGAGAAATGGGGTGACTTTGCAGCCACTCCCACTTTTGGCAAAGTGACTCAGAAGCATCCATCCTCCTGCTGCAGGTCAAAGCCGTTGCCTGAGCAGAGGAGTCATGAAGAATGAGGCAGAGAAGGTAGAGACCGAGGTTAAAAGTTCCCTGGCAGATTCTAACATGTCCTCCTTATCTCTCCTTTCTCACAACTGGTAGAACTGTCTCACAAACCCTGAAGCATGCTGGTGCTGAAGACAGATGGAATAGGAAGGCTTCTGAAGATGGTTCGTTTTTACTGGGGGAGATAAAGCATTTGATTTCATGTGGAGGAAGTCTCCAATACACTTGCACTCTGCCTTATGCTGACAAATTTCCCAAAAGATAGACAGCACATATTTTCTGAAAATAGTTAAGAGATGGCTGGGACTGAATCCTCCTTGCTTATGTGATCACAGAAGAAAATAATTACGGGTCAAAACATGAGAAGTCTGTTTTCCTCTCAATTTGATTTCCCTTTGTGGTATGATTCCAGATCACCTCTGTAAATTAAAAAACAAAACAAAAACAAAAACACTGTTTTCCCAATAGTAGCCCAGTAGAATTATATTCTTTATGTAAATGAAGCCCAAATCTACAGAGAACCTATAAAGCTTCCAAGCAAAGACACTGCATTCCTAGGATGAACTTAGGTAAACTTACACTTTCAGAAAGCAATTAGTAAAGAACTCATTTTAGCCTACTTTATAAGTCAGATGGCAATTGCTGTATTAGCCAATGGCTTATAGGGCATACATCAAGAACATCTTTTGAGCAAGACCTCCAGGAAGGAAGTCTTAGGGGTCCTTGAACATCTGTGGGTACACACACACACACACACACACACACACACACACACACACACACACACACACACACACGACTCAAGTGTGGCAGGTGAACACTCCAAACTGTTCTTGGACAGGTGAAGGAAGGAAGGCTGCTGCTCCCTCATTCCCCATCCACAAGCCTCTAGAATCACTCCCCCCCTCAATGTCCTTCTAGACATTTCAGTGTGATTTTGACTGCACTTCTCTGGTTCAGACCCTCCAAAGATCCCACTGTGTTGGAAGAGAGGCTCAGAGATCCCCCCATGACCTTCTATACTCTCCTGGCTCTGCACACTGATATGATGGGGGGCACTGGCTGAGTGGATGCTCACTGAGCCCATCTGTTGGAGTGAGATAACAGTTCCTACCTTAGAGTACTGGTGGGATGGTTAGCAATAATAGTTACAGCTGGCACCCAGTGTGGGCCCTCTAGAAATGTCAGGGATTCCATATAACTAGATGAAGGAGAAAAGAATAAGAAATAAGAACCATCTATAATTCCTAGAAGGTGAACTCATAACTGTCATTTGTTACTGGGCTTTACTCTGGAAATGTTAATGGACTGGAGAATATGCAAATGTAACCTTTTCTCCATTAAAGCTTGTCGCATAGACCAACAACATTGTGACTACACCCTCCCTCAAGTGTGGACTGTCTGCATTGTTAAGATCACAAGGCAATGCACAGAGCTAAATACCTAGCAGTTTTGAAATTCCTTACTGTGCCATGCTGGCACCAAAATCAAAGAATTGGTGGGCTGTCACAACATTTTATCAAGTCCCCAAGAACCCAAGGACACCCAGGGTCCTCACACTTTTAGCGAAGGTTCTTGTCAGAGTGGACACTCTCCCTTTGACTGCAGTGCAGCATGAACAATTTCACTGGTGCCTGTTTGGACTTAATGTAAGAAATTTCAATCATGCGTGTGTGTGTGTGTGTGTGTGTGTGTGTGTGTGTGTGTGTGTGTGTGTGTGTGTGTGTGTGCGCGTGTGTGTGCATGTGTTGGGGTATGTGTGTATATGAAACACACATGTGCAAGTGTGAAAATGAGAAGCAGACATGAGGGGGCCTCCTCACTTGCCCTCTATTTTATTTTTTGGAGACAGAGCCTCTCACTGAACCATTGATTCATACAGGCTGGTTGACCATTCAGCTCTGGAGATCACCTCTCTGCCCCTCTCATTCACAAGCTCTGAGATTACTGGAGCTTGTTGATGGATGCACTCTTTTTTAATGAGAGTACTTGGGATCTACATTCAGTTCCTTATACTTGCAGGGAAGGCGCTTTACCAACTAAACTATCTCTTCTAGGCCCATAATCATTATAAACTTTTGAACTCTAAAAGTTTTAAAGACTGAACTAATATTAATTTTTAGATCCAAAGCCATGAGGTAGGCTGTTTTGTTCTTTATTTCACTTTATCTTGAAGAATTTGGGAGTGGTTCAGAGGTGATGAAATTAGAAAGTAGGCAGAAGGCTTTCATTAATAATAAAAAGGAGATATTTCCATTTTCGCTAACCAAAGTGAAATTATCTGATGATATTCACATGAAAGAGTCAATATTGTCCACTTTATTCTTGAGTACTTTACAATCCCAAACAAAAAACTGCCAAAAACCTGTTAATTATATTTTAAAAAATCTATAAATAGTACTAGAATTATGACCATTTAGAAAGAAAGTGAATTGTTATAATTTTGTAGAAGAAGTGGCTTTCTTCACGCTAGTAAAACAGACTCACTCAGCCACATCACAAGCATGCATTCACTCTGCCATGACTCCTTATGGGCAAGTCACCCACTCCACAGATATATGCCTAGCTCATGAGAGATTTGACAAATAACCATGGCAATAGAAAATAATGTAACAAAAAATTAAAGATGTATCTCTGATAGTGTGGTGCTTTGAATAGGTATGGACCCCATAGATTCATGTGTTTGAATGCTTGGCCATAGGGAGTGTTACTATTAGGAGGTGTGGCATCATTGGAGTAGGTATGGCCTTGTTGGAGGAGGTGTAACACTGTGTGTGTGTGGGGGTGGTGGTGGTGGTTGAGGTCTCATACTCTCAAGCTATGCCCAGTGTGGCTCACAGTCTCCTTCTGCTGTCTGCTGGACTCTCAGCTCCTTCTCCAGCATCATGTCTGTCTGTATACTGTCATGTATCCTGCCATGATGATAACGGACTAAACCTTTGAAACTGTAAGCCAGCACCAATGAAATGTTTTCCTTTATAAGATTGGCCATAGTCATGTTATCTTTTCATAGCAATAGAAACCTAAACAAAGACAGACAGATAAATTAAATGAATGAATCCCATTAGGAAATCAAAAGAGAATGGTTTATAATATTGTGAATCTGTCTCAGTGTTTATGATAGGTCTCTGGTTAGAAGATGTGGTGGTTTGAATGAGAATGGCCCCTACAGGCTCATATATGGGAGTACTTGGTCCCAAACTAATATAACTGTTTAGGAAGGATTAGGAGGTGTGTGGAGGAGGTATATCCCTGGGGGAGGGGGAAGCTTTGAGGTTTCAAAAGCCCTTCCCATTCAGTCAGCTCCTTTTCTTTCTGCTTCTTGCTTGTGGATCAGATGTAAGCTCTCAGCTACTGCTCCAGCACTATGACTGCCTGTCTGCTGCCTTGCTCACCACTATGATGGTCATGGACTTTAATCTTCTGAAACTTAAGCCCCTAATAAATTCTTTCTTCTATAAGTTGCCTTGATTATATGGTGTCTTAACACAGCAATAGAAAAATAGCTAAGAAAAAAGATATTACCGAAAGTCACATCATAGCCTCTAATACCCTCTAAGCCCTGACTCCTGAATCTGTGAATGCTTCCTTATCTGGACAAACCCACTTTGCAGATATGATCAAGTGAAGGACCCTATAGGGGAAGGAGATTATTTTGAATAAACTACTGTTCTCTGAGGCTAATTTGAGCATTGTTAAAAGACAGAAAGAGAGGGACAACTGCCACAGAGGAAGGTGATAATGGCACTTTGAGATAAGGTAGGCTGATGTCTTTCAGAATGGACAAAAGGGTCAAGAGCTGTGGGATGGCAGGAGAGCAGAGCTCTGAGAGCTTTCCAAGGCAATGGAGGAGATTTTCCTCCAGGGAGACAGCGATAACCCTGAGCCCTTGGTTGTAGCATGATGCACCTAAATTTGAGTTTATGGCTGGCAGAATTGCAAAGGGATAAGGCTGTACTGTTTTAAGCCCCTCAATGTTGTGTTGATTTGTAGCAGTAGCAAGGAATGAATTCAGAAGTTTAGATTTTCAAAACACAGCCCTGGGAAGCCTAAGAGAAACCTATTAGGGCAAAGATATGGTGACAATTGCCTGGTATACCACAACGAACATCACCTCTAATCTGAGTGTCTTCCCTGTCACTTCCAATTATGAGGCACAGATTATTGATTTTCCATGACTTCCTTACTACCTCTTGGGTATCTACATATTTCTAACAATAGTTTTCTTAATCTTCATTTTTTTTTTTTTTTACAAAACTTTGTAGCCTTAACTTCTTCTATGTCCCTGTCAACCTGCCTACTTTGTCTTATGATTCAGCTACAAATCTACCTACCACCAACCCCCACCCTGCCCCCGGCAGTGTTTATTGTACATCCATAGAGTATCTAGTCACTGAGGTTGACAAGAGTCACTTTTTGTCTTGAGGATCATACTTTCAAATAGTAAGTGATACTTAAGTGTCAAACAAACAAGACAGACTCTTTACCAGATTGTGGTATATGTGTAGTGTGTTAGGTACTGTTTCCCCTATTCATGTCTAGATGCAGTTAGGGTAAAGAGCAAGAAGAGATCGTACTGGACAAGAGTGATCCCTATGTCTAAGGAAAGTGTCCTTATGAAAGAGAGAAAAGGACATAGAAATGCAGAGAGAGGGGGCATAATGTGAAGATGGAGGCAGAAATGGTGTGATGACGCACTCCGAGAATGTGAAGGCTTCCCGACAGCACAGGAGGCAGGACTAGACTCTTCCTCCATCCCCTCTGGAAAGATCCAGCTCTGCCAACAACCTCATTTCAGACATCCGACACTGTAGATGGTGAGAAACTGGTTCCTGTTTCTTCTTTGCTTTGTTTGTGTGTCATTGATGGTACTATGTTACAACTTCCATGTGCATTCACGGAACTGTGACTGGGAAATTAGGACAGTGAAACAAAATATCAACACGTAGGCTTGTGAGAATTTGGGGGTACCGCCATCATACACAAACTCTGAAATGACGCTCCATAAGAAGATGCTGGGGCAGGGGTATGCACAGCCTATCAGAAAAGAGGCAAGAAGGGCAGTGGGCAAAGGAGAACATGCTCTGAACTTCAGTAGGTGAGGTCAAAGGGGTCCAGATACCGTAGGATATGTCAACTATTGTTGTCCTTGACTGCTGCATGGAGACATGGGGATGCCAATGGAATATTTTAATCTGGCTCACATTTTGAAAAGATCACTTTAATGGGGGTTGCATGCAACTGTTAAAAATCACATTTTGTAGGGAAAAGTGTGTTAAGTAGCCCTGGATGTATCTGAGTTGATGAGAGGGTCCTTCTGGCCGCTGTTAAAAACAGAACCCATGGACTGCATGGAAACGGGGAGCAGCAGAGGAAAGCAGGGGTGCTGTGGGGCAACTGTGAGGTCTGGTGCATGGTGCAGGCAGAGTTACAGGCTGTCGTGTTGGGGTGCATGTGAGAAAAGAAAGAGGAACTCTGTGAGCACCTGACAAGAACCCTGCCCTCTGTGTCTGTGTCCATCCTTGGCCTGACCCCATCTCAGATCCAGTCTGGGGCTCGTGGTGATGCTGCTTAGGAGAGGCTACCTGCTGGGCCCTGTATCTACTGCTTCAGATAAGGATGGTCAAGGTGAAACAGCCTGTTTCCCAGTGGCCGCTGAAGTGCAGAGAGGCAAACAGTGAAGTGATGAGAAAACTAAGTATTTCTGAACTATTTGGATTCCAAATATTTGAATTTAAGCTTAGCCAGCCATGGACTCCTTCTCTGAGTTCAGTTTATTAAGAATTGAGAAGGAAAAATAAAATGAAAAGACCAGAAAAATTAATGCTATTATTTACTTTCTTTAATTACATGTAGTTTAAAATCAACAGATTTCTGCTTAAATTAAAGACCTAAATATTCTAAAAAAAAACCATGAGGCTGTAAAAGATATCCATTTACTAGAATACCTCTGTGATGTCAATGAACCTTAAAATGCTAGTCATTAATTTACTAAATGTATTCAATCAAAAATGTTCCATGAGGAAAACCTGGTCACCTTTAGAATGTTCTGTGTGGATATTTTTATGCAATATTCATGTATGTATGCATATTCATGTATACATGTTTCTATATATGTGTTATACATATATACATCCATCTAATACTTGACTATATATTGTATATGTTTATAGATATGTATATTTATGTAATGAATATACA